CCTTTCTGTTTTTTTCAATGCTTCCCTCGCTCCTACAGAGGATTCATGCAAATATGAGAGCCGTGCCGCGTTTACATTGAACAGGTAGAAAAGGTCGTCCAGAATGAGTCTTTCGTTCTGTAATGAAAACCCCAATAAACTCACTCAGAAATGACTCATTTCGAATAAATTTTACGCTGGTTATTATGTGGCAACCGGTATGAACTCGTTCTTGTACAAAACTCATTCGGATATCATCTTAAAGGCCCCTAAAAGTATTTATTCCCAGAGCATCACGCTTTGCTCGCCTATCTGAACACTAAAAATTTCAGTAGCGTTGAAGCAACAACCCGCTTTAACTGCTTCGCTGCCGCTAAAACAACGATTAGTGAAGAAAGCACATATTTTAATATTTTCAATTCAACGTAAACAAAAATCTTTATAAATGGTAAATATTCACTTGTGTCGGTATCAACAATTTCGTGACTAGCTTATGATATAAATGAGGGAGGGGAAAACGATGCTGACATCCTCTCTTTAGAAGTTTTATTTTTGAATTCTGTCTTTAACTTTTTGGCATTTACTCTTTGAAAATTCATAAATGCTTTTTCAACGTTGTAAAGAGGTATTACACATGTCCACATGTCCAAAACCGGAATTATGAAGTCAACTTAATTTCAATGAGTTTGAAACTTTCCTCTACAGCACATGAAGTGAGTTTAATGTAGTTACATTTCTTTTTTGTCTTTTTCATACATATGACTATACCAGTCTTAAAGACGGTAATTTCTTTACATCATAATGATTACATTTTATTTATTCCTTCGAAAAACATTTCATAAAGTAGGCAGTCAAATTTGTTAGATCCCCTGGGAGCAAAAAATGCTTGTCACGAAAACGCTTGCCAATAATGGATGAAGTCGAGCGTCTGTGTTCTTAAATACGTTGGTGCAGATGGCGACGTGTAAAACCAACATATCCTGCAGCGCACAGGTCACACTTAGATTTATTAACAAGGCATTGTTGGTTCACAACCGATGACTTCGCTTCTCGTAACTTGAGATCTTGCTTCATCTTCTGGCTAACAAATACCGGCTGTTCGGTTGTATGGATCTTCTGACTCAAATCTTCGAGTTGAACTCCTATAATATCGGCTAAGGCCTGATCTTTAAGCGATAGGACAACAGACCTCATGTTGAGCGAACAAATTTGACTGCCTACTTTATGAAATGTTTTTTAGTCAAAAACTGAGACCTGCTCTCAATGTGCAGTCGCACTCAATTCATGCAAAGGTTTTTGATTAGGTTTTTAATCGTTTTTAATTTTTAACTCTCTTTTTTTAATTAACTCATAATTCTTTCTTCTTTTTTGTATGTTCTTATTGTCCGTTTACACTTTCAAAAATTTTTGACACCTCTTACACGTCTATATATATTCATCGTTACATCCTTACCACTCACTTGAAAATGGCCGAAGTTAGGTCGAAACGTCATATTTTACCGTTGATTATTACCGCCAAAAGAATGCATATTGTGCAGGTTAATTTCCTCCATTGCCTTTCATGTTTTTTGATCGAATAAAATTTAATCATTTGTTGGGTTTACTTACATGTGTCCAATGACCAGAGCGGACTTGATTCATCTCAGATGTCAGCTGGTAAAATATAGCTTCTGAAATTTTATTGCCTTATAGATACTAAAAACAGATGGCGGTAAGAAAAAGTACACAACGTCAAGAAAATCTCACAGAGGTGGCTATTGATAATATAATTTTGAAAATTTGGTTTGGTGATTGGCTTGTGATATTTAGAATGATGGTATCATATGACCTGTACAGTCATATACTATGAAATGACTAAAAAATGTAATTGGGCGCGGCGGAGAACTACATGGCAATGGTTGGTTACGAGTTTTCATTGGTTGTTTTCTTGTAAATAAAGGCAATTTTTCAATTATGGGAAAACTTTGATTTTTAAACCAAGTTTGATTTTTAAATCAAATTTATATTGTGTTCGAGAAGGTTAACGGTCGAACATTTATAAATTTTGATCAGTTGTAAAAATGTCTCGTTAGTATCGTCAAAAAAAAGTTTGACTCACTGTTGCCTGACTAACCAAGACTGAACAAATTTCAACTCGAAATTTATTTATCATTCTCCTTTCGAGGTATACATCAAAGTTTTGAAGTCATGGCACGAGACCGAAATTACAGATTTTAGGAAATCTGCATGCCTACGTAAGTTTTCAACAATAAAGCCAGGCTGGTGCCTACACGTAGGTGAGCAAATGTAAGAAGTTGTTATGCTGCTTAGAATTTTCATTAAAGTAACCTGAATTATAATTCTTTGCGGGTGTTTGACATCGCCAATCAGCTGGTGAAACGTCATTCGCCTTTTGCGCCACTCGGTGAGGATGTTGAATGAATGGCAAAGCGTTCTCATGTTCATCCACGGTCGTTTGTCCCAATTTTGTCGGATTATTGTTGCTAACAAGAGTGGAAAACTGATATCGCGTCCCTAAAAATTTGCTAGAAGGGTAAAATAACCAAGTGGAATCCGAAAGTCACTTGGCTTTGGTGATTGCTTTTCTCGCGGTTGCGAACAAAAATTTAGCAATTGGAAGATTTACCGATAGCCGATTTGGGTCGTTTACCTGAGCAGAGTTCGCCTGTCGATAAGAAAAAGTCGGGAAATGATAATTGTGTGAATTGAAAGTTACACCCATTGTTTGCTTTTGTAATGATTCAACGCATCTCTTTATCTTGAACGTTATTGCCCGAGCACTTCAAGACTTTTTTGGGGGGGATTGGATCTATTAACGAAGTTGACTTCTATTGTCATTAAAGGCCTGATGTGTTCAACTCGTAATCTCAGAGTGTGTTCCATTTAACCAGGGCCTGCATAATCATTTCATAATGGTGTTAACAGATGGTGGAAAATGGTTGGTGTGAAGTATATTGCCAAGTGTGCCAGCTTATTACTGCATTAGTGGAAAAATAGAACAAAAAACTGTGTATTTAATGTATAAATAGAGTTATTGAACTCAACCAACTGAACTTCAAAACGAAAGAGAAAACTTGATTGATGTTTGAAATTAACTTGTTTTGTACAATGAAATCCAGGTATTTTTATAGGTTTCTTAAAGTATCTTCATTGTGGAATCCTAAACTTTTCTTTATTAACAAGTTTCAAAAAAGATTTTCTAGTTCTAGCTCGTCTTTGTTTGAATCAAACTTCCGCAGTGCAAGATACAATAGACAAATTTCGTATTTCAGTAGATAGTGTTGCCAAGATCATGGACAGTTGCAGCAGTGGTTATCGTATTAAATAGAAGAAATATCTCAAAAGACGCCGTGTATTTCCAGCCAGGGACAACTAGGAAACGCGAATAGTCGAAAGAGAGGAAGTATATACAAGTATAAGTATCAAAATAAGTTATAAGTATAGATAATAAAGGTTTAAACACGAGCTACAAGTGATTTCTCTGTTCAATTTTCTACGCTTACCAGGGGTTTGACACGATACAGAAAAATTGGTAGAGAAAACAGTCGTAGCCGGCGTCATCAAGAGAAGATAGAGGAGAAGCCCAAATGATTCTGGTGTATTGTTTCATTGACTCACTCACTGTTCTCACTTAGACCCGTCGACCAATCGACCATTCAAATCCGAACTTTCATTTCTCTCAATTTCAGCTCATTTACCTATTTATTTATCTATAGAACTACCTAGATTTAGCGATATAGATCGCCTATTGTCCATTTCCTGACGTAGAATAAGGTTTAATACTGGCTAACATGGGTATAACTGTGTTTCAAGTCAAGCGATTATTAACGAAACTTTAATAAACGTGGATGCTTTTATAGCGAAATAACTTACCCATATGGTGCGTACGAAAGTTTTCTGCCAAAACTGATGATTAGGCACCATCTTAACAACGATCACTTTAGTTGATTTAGTATCTTTTTCCAGGGCAGTGCAATCTGGTACGACTTCCACATCAACTGAATCTGTTCCTTGGAGCTTAAATTCAGTATTTAAGCAATTTTGGTTAGTGCCCCGAAGCTTTAATCCTTTTTCTGGTAACGTAAAGCTTACTTTGGAGTAGGTTTTCGTAAGTGGGTCTATCCTCGCAGGAATGGTTGGACGTATTGTGATCTTGCTGCCTTTTTGCTTCTTGCAGGCTTTCAGATCAATTCTTAGAGTGGTTGGGGAGACCTGCAATAAAAAGAAGAGTCGAAGGAACATGGATCACCACGCTTAACCATAATTATCTTTTTTTTTTTTTTTGCAACTAAAGCGCTACTTTAATCACCCGCATCCACTAACTTTACAAAATATAGATTTAACCAAGCCTAAAAGAGGTGCTCCAATGACTATTTTACTGTTCTTACTTCGTCTCCCACAGGCTGTTCAAGAACAAGTAGCTACAAGTAGTTGATCACCTAAATGAGAACGATGGGAAGGGAAATTAATAACATGAGAGCGGGCAACCTTTTTTTTAAATATCTCGTCCCTTCCTAGGTTCATTGGACATTATTAAAGGGAGAACTTGAGAGTGATAATTTGATTTCCAATATTTTTGTGCAATGACAAAAGGAAGGTGAAGAGCAAAGCGAAATAAACCGAAAGAACTTCTTTTTGACCACCGATTAGGAATTCCTTCAGAGTAGCAAATTCTTCATACGTGGACATTTCCTCCTTTATAACCAATTTGATGAATCCATTTTAATGTGCACTCATCAGTATTGTGAGACATCTTTGATAAGGAAATTGGGCACTGCTTCGCAGTTGACGATACGTTTACCTCGGTGCGATAATGATAATGATAATAATAAGGAATTTATATAGCGCTAAAACTATAAACAATATTCAGAGGCGCTTTACATAAGTTAAAGTTCTATACTAATTAAAATTAAAATATTCAAAGGCAATAAATATAAGAACTATTGAAACAAACTGAAAGCTTTCCTAAATAGAAATGTTTTAAGTTGCTTTTTAAAAATGGCGAGGCTACTACTTGTTCTTATAGTTAATGGAAGCGAGTTCCATGAAACAGGTGCCGCATGAGCAAAGGCCCGATCCCCAAGTGAAGAGCAGTTGGCTTTTGGAACGAATAGAAGAGATTGAGCAGACGAGCGAAGAGCATAATTAGTAGCTGGTTTCAGGGACAGAAGATCTCTAATGTAGGGAGGACTTTGGTTGTGTAATTACTTGTAAACAAAGAGGAGCAATTTAAACTGAACTCTGAACGTTACTGGGAACCAATGTAGGTCGATAAGTGCAGGTGTGATATGATCAAATTTTGGAATCTGAAAAATCACTCTTGCCGCAGCAATCGGAACTTTCTGTAAGTGATCGAGTTGATATTTAGGCAGACCGAAGAGAAGTGCATTACAGTAATCAAGGTGTGAGGATATAAAAGCGTGGACTAGTGTCTTAGTCGATTGAACAGTAAGGAATTTTCTGATCTGTCTTATGTTGTATAATCCGCGAAAAGCCTTGCTACAAATCTTGCCTATGTGAACGTTCATTCGCATATGGGCATTGAACCAGGACCCAAGTTTCCGGACGCTTTCTAAAGAATTAACCACACGAAATAACTTGCGCGAGTCACCCGCACACTCATCAATTAGGTTTGAATAATAATTCACACGTGCAGAGTTAAGAAATGCAGACTACTGATTATGAACTTTATGGTAATTATCTCGTCACCAGGGAGGTCAGTTTTCACGGCTCTCTCTTCGAGGCGACTACGCTGACGCTTGAGTTGTTTAATGTCATCATTAAACCATGGGAAAGTGTTTAAGTGGGGCAAACTTATCCAGTATGTCAGTAAGAGTCTTGTTAAAGCAGTCGGAGAGCATCAATGTTGTCCCAGTGTACGCCTGCACAAAACATAGAAGAGGCAATATCAGCTGAGAACGCAGCAATATCAATACTTTTGAGTTTACGAAAAGCCAGTTTTTTTGCATGACAAAGCTGGTTGTGAAAAACCAATAGGACACTGAATAATAAAATGATCGGAGATGGGAAAAGTAGTTTTAGGACAAGCAAGAACAATATCATCTGAGGAACGAGTAGTAATTAAATCTAAGGTCTGACCCGATAAATGGGTCGGGCCCGAAACGTGTTGCGAAAGACTGAACGTTTCCAGTAAACCCATAAATTTCTTGGTCTCATTGTCATGGAGGTCATCTAAAGGTTGAAGTCTCCAGAGATAACAAGGGCCTCGGGACAAATAACAACATTCTCTAAAAACCGAGAGAATTCATCGAAAAAGACAGAGGTAGAAACGGGGTGTAACGAAGAATATGGAGGTCGATACACTAACACATATCTCATAGAGCGATCGTGCACTTTAACAGTCCACTCCGAAAATTCAAAGGACTTGTTTTCCTTCCCATCCACTATGAGACTTTGAGAGAGTCTCGAAAAAGAATCCCAGTACCACCACCACGGTTGTGCGATTTTCTAAGAAAATTCTTGAAGGAATAGCCAGCCACAGATAATTGAGCAATACTGACGGAGTCAACGTCATTCAACCAGGTCTCGGTAACGGTGCAGAGGCCGATGTCATTTTCAACGACGTGGTCAATGATGCTCTCGATCTTATTCCTAACAAATCTTGAATTGAAGACCGCAAAGTTTAGAATTGAACGCGGATTAACGAGCGAATTTGTATGAAATGAGGAGTTCGTCGGAGTAACGTTAGATGATAATTATATATTGTTTGTGTTCACAGGTGTAATGACGCAGAGGTTATTCGAAATGGATCTCTTATGCAAATTATCGCTTCCTCGGCTAGCGCGTGGATAAGAAACCAGGGATTCAATTCTGTGAATATTTCTAGCCTTCCTTTCTCTGACTCGACGGCCAGCGCGGCATCTCCTGTAGGTCGATGATAATGGCAATGAACAAGGCCAGTGAGAAAATCGATGAAAGACGTCTGAATAGTAGGAATCACAAGTTCCAACATGGCGGGTGTCAGCATTATTCGTAGGCAACAGTTTATTACCTGGATACGAGACCAGGCCAGAAACCTTAGGAAGGCAGGTTAACAAATAAATTGGTTTCTTCTGCAACGGAGCAGTATTTAGCTCAACATCCATGTGAACGGTTAAATCTTTTGGTAAAACCAAACAGATCGGACCATGTTTGTACCAAACTGAAATAGTCCGCCTCGGAAACTTTAGTTCTTGGTTATTCTTGATAAAAGATGTCTTTGCGTTGAACTTGGTCAATATTGGGTAGCAGAGGCCTTTAAGTTGCCATACCATATAAAATTGTAAGATATAAAACAAGTTCAAAAGCGAAGTAAAGCGGCAAATACGAACATAAACGGCTGCCATCTTGATCGACGCTTACAATAAAGGACAAAACATCAACACACAGTTTACAAGAAGATTCGAAGAAAAAGTTCAAAAGAATTCAGAGAAAACTCATTACACAAAAGATTTAATATACAACGCGACAGATAACTTATCTAACGAGAAGAAATACATAGACTGTATTGCTTTAAAAAAAAACAGCTACAGTGACGACTTCATTCGGCATAACACTCACTGACCTTAAGGGTATGTCTGAAAACATTTCGGCATCCTATAACCCTTAAATATCACAAACCTTTCACTACACCACGTTAATTACTAAAATACCTTAAAGGCAAGGACAAACCGAAGAAGAGACAGGGAGCAATAGCTATGATCGAGTGCTCCGACTTTCAAGCCTCCTACATCGGAGAGACTGGTAGAAACCTCACAGAAGCCTGACGGAATACAAGTAAGCAACGAGAAAAGGTGATGCCAACAATCACATCGCTGAACATCATCGACTTACGAACCACATTATTGACTGGAATTTTTGGTAGTGTCTCACCTACAGCACTAGTAATTTTCAACGAATGACTGTGTAAAGCGGGTTTACCTACTTAGAAGAGACTTCCTTCAACAGGTGTCAACTACCAAATTAGAACAGACCCCCCCCCCCCTTCAACAGGTGTCAACTACTGCGGACACCATACACTCGACTTATTTACGAAAAACGAAACGAAAAGAACGACCTGCTTTACCGACCGATCAAAACTGACCGATCACGACCGACGTACGCCACTTGAATCTTTCAGCCAATATCTGACAACAACGTCAGTCACTACCACCGACAACAGTCTTTCTCAGGACATTTAAAAGGCAAATTACCTCAATCCCGGCGAAAAAAGGCATCTTAACGTCTTTTGGAGTGGACCATTTACTTCCGGGGTCTTTATACTTTGCGGAGACTCTGCAAGAAACCTTTTCACACAAAAAAAAGCGATGATAAATAACCACACAGAGCTCACATTAAAATAATAATATTTACCCGGCGCGCTGAGCCACTCGCATGTGAATCATTTATATTGCAACACGGATAATGGCAGAAATTTCATTTGCTGAACGCTACAGAAATGCAAACTTGCCACCAAGCAAGTATGTGTTCATGGCCAGGTTCCCTGGGAACAACAGTATCGCACCAACAGGAAATACAATTTTATTTAACAAATAGAGAAGCCTTGACTTTGCTTTGTTCTGTTATAAAGCACGCAGGAAGCGGCTAGAGCACGAAAGAAGTGTAGGGAGAAACACGAGACGTACTTCTTGAGTGCTTTAGCCGCTTCCTAAGTGCTTTATAACAGAACAGAGCACAGTCAAGGCTTCTGTATTTGTTTTATAATAAAGAATCCATTAAATTCTCCAAGCATTACTTTCAATTTTCAAAACAAATTTTATTCCCAAAGCGAACAACAGTGTCGTCAGCATGCTCTATACTCTCATAAAGCACGCTTCAATAAGCCAATCAGAATCCTTGTTAGAATGGTTCAAGACTAAAGCTGTCAAAAGAGACAAACCATCAAAGTTCAAAAACCATCAAAGTTCACATTCTGCGATAGTTTACAAACTAAAATAGTTCGGCAGGTCGAATTTAACACTTTTGCCTGAAGTTAAGTCTCTAATACAAAATCTTGAAGTGAAATGTTCAGTGAACTTCAGCCGAATTATGGCTCATAAAAATACGCGAGTTTTTTCACACGACAAGGTAGGAAACAAACTGTTCAAGGCGAGTGTATTTTGAATGAACGACAGCCGAATTCACCGGAACATGAAGATCGCTCGGGATGACAGCACGGCAAAACTCGGCTGCAGTGACTGATGTGACTTTCCACTCAACACATCGGAAAGGATATCAGAGCAAGCTCTTATTTTTTTACTCGAAGGGCGGCCGATGTAGTTTCTGAGGCTTGCTTTACTGTGATGACCGGAGATCGCCATGATAAGCGAGCCGCGATGGACTTCAGCATGATCATATTCACGCAGACACCGTCATGATTAGAATGAATTTTAACAGTTATGCCAGTTTGGTTATATTTTTCATCATTTCTGTTTTGTTCAGTTTTGTATTTGAACACTGAACTTTATATACTATACGAGTGTTAGCTGTGTTTGATTTTTATTTCTGTACGTAAGCTTGCAATCTAACTGAGCGTGAAAATCTTTAAAACTCGGAATGTCTATTTTGTTTTTCCTTTGAGGATTTTCGTATCTGCTCACGTTTAAATAACGTAAATTACGGCGCCTGGTATGTTTACAAACCTTTGTTTGGTTCTTCTTTTGCTACTTGCCGGCTCGCTTGTTCCGAAATTTCACTTTCAATTAACGGAAAAAAGCTAAAGAGAAGTCCCGGAAAAGGTCGAACATAGTACAATTTGGCAGATGGCGTGACAGCTTTAGCTCAGCTCTATGCTCTATACTCTCATAGGGCACGCTCTTTCAACCAATGACAGCGTGCGTTATATCCGAACTTTATTATAATAAGTATTATAACATAGCTAGCAGAGCCGCGCAATCAAATTCAGTTTACGTAAGCGTGCTCAAAATCCCAATAGTGCACGCTGATAGCGTGAGCAAATAGCTTCGCCATAAATTTTTGTTTTCGCGCGAGCGGCCATTGTTAGCGTGGGGAAAAATAATATATTTCGAGACAATAATTGATACAAACAGAGACTCGGCCCACCAGTCCCAAAACGAAGACAATTTTCCGACCTTTTCCCTTGGGCTAGAGTTCTCAAATGAGGCAGAAAAAGAGAAAAATAACGGAAAAGGAGACTCGGCATCAGCGCCGTCACGATTCGCTTCACTGTCCGAGGGTGAAATGCAACAAATCTTGACAGAAAGAAACTCTGGTAAAACCAAACAAATGACAAACTGGTCTGTTTCAACCTTCAAAGGTAAGCTTAAATTTTTCCGTTTTAAAATTGTTAATATATATTTACAGTTGTTCTCGGAAATGGTAAAGCTTACCGCGAACAATCACTTCTGATATTGTTGTCCGTTTTTCGCGTCGGATTTGATGCACAATTCCACCGGCTACGTTATAAAACAATTGGTTCGTGCTTTTAGCTGTGCACTATCAAGTTATGGACCGCCCTCTGCCTCGAGCAACTCTTACGCTTCTTTCGTGCTCTCCAAACTTCTCACGTGCTCCATAACTCGATAGTGTACGCTAAAGCATGAACCAATTGTTAAATGGTATTAGGACTGAGTGGAGTCCAATTCAGTCCGTAATCATACGAGTGATAACAAAATCGGACAACCGCGCAGCGGAAGTCCAATTTGTTTATCACGAGCATGATAACAAACTGTTCGATAAAAAAAAGGAAATGTATGCTGAGAGAGGTTAAAAATACACCGAAAATTGTTTTCCGATTAGTCTCGAACTTTTTCGCGTCGCTTCGTCCAGAGTCCCTCATCGCTACAAAGAACAAAAGGAATATTGTTTAATGCTCAATGTGAGAAGTTGAGCCGGAACAATGGACCATTTCTTGATGAGGATAGGGTAGCGCTCGAAGCGTTAGCTTCAGAAGTTCTTCACGGTGACCAATTTACACTATCAACTCACTTGATAAAATTTACCATCAAGAGAAAATTAGGAGAAAATCTTGAAGTGAGCCTTCACCATATATATAGAGCGTATAGCTAGGCCAGACCGAGATCTGAGATTTCCCCGTATCGAACGAACGTTGGAGTTTATTAAAGTTGTGTATTAAAAGGCCAACAACTTTTTTTCTGAAACAAGCAGAAGATATGTTAAGCGAAAGTTTCATTTTGCATCTTCTGACGCACTCACCCATCTATTCATTCACCGATAGGCCTACGCGTTTATAATGGTATGAAGCATACTTCTTCCCTTCTGTATACGCACAGACGCTTTGTATAGAGAATCGGAAAAAAATTGAGTTATGCTGTCACACCAGTAGAGTTGAATACTTTTACACCGTTATGAGAATCATCTCTCCCGAGAAGAAATGTGTC